GCAAAGAGGAAGGTGGACTAGGGTTAGGAAGGTTAACTCTCAAGAATAAAGCCCTCTTAGGAAAATGGCTGTGGAGGTGGCCTAGAGAAAGGGAGAGGTTGTGGCATGAAGTGATAGTATACATGGAAGACTGGAAATGGACGGGATGCGGGCGTATCATGTCAAGCAACGTTGGCATCTTCTTGGAAAGCAATCTAGAGTATCCTCCCTCAATTTCTCAACTTTGTCAGGTATGATGTCAATTCTGGTAACTCTGTTTTATTTTGGGAAGACACTTGGTGGGTATTGTTGCTCTTAAGGATCAATTCCCGTCTCTTTATTCTATTTCCCTTTACAAGAAGAAATCTATCTCTCATTTTCTCCCATCTCCTAATTCACCCTCATCCTTAAGTTGGGATTTTGGCTTTCGGAGAGGTTTGAGGGATGATGAACTTAACAGTGTTTCAGATCTGTTGTCTCTTCTTGGTAGTGTCTTTTTGGACCCTCTTAGTGTGGATGTGAGATTATGGTCCCCTCATCCAAAAGGTTACTTCTCTTGTGCTTCCTTTTTTAAGTCCCTTTGCTCTTCCCTGAGACAGTGGTGTTTTCCAACCAAGGAGATTTGGTCTAGACTTGTTTCACCTAAAATTGTTATTTTCTGCTGGGAGGTGTTTTATAGAAAGATTAATACCTTGGATTTCTTGCAAAAGAAAAGGCCTTTCATGTGCTTGTCCCCTAACTGGTGTGTACTTTGCAGGGCTAGTGGTGAGGATTGTTCCCACTTACTTGTATCTTGTTCCTTTTCTAGTGCTATTTGGAGTTGGATTTTTTCTTTGTTTGGGTCTAGGTGGAATCTGTCCACAGGCTGAAGTCAGCTGTTCGATCGTTTCTTTTTTTGTATGGCCTACAAAAAAAGGAAGATTGATGTGGAGATGTATTAGAGCAGTCGCATTGTGGACACAAGGAATTCAAGGATATTCAAGGAAAAGAAAAGAAACATTCAGGCTGTTGAGGATTGTATCTTGACCAGGGCCATTCATTGGTCGAGAACTATGGACTTCTTTCATACTTTTTCCTTTGATGATATTTGGAGAAATTGGATAGCGGTGGCTAACAGCCATACAAGGAAGGACAGGGAATTTGAAGTGTGGATCCCTCCGCCCGAAGGATGGGTAAGCTGAACTTTGATGGCAGCAGCCAAGGAAACCTAGGCCCATCGGGGATAGGAGGGGTGCTTAGAGATACAGAGAACAACATCTTGGCCTTGTTTTCAGGCCCCGTGCGAATAGGAGACTCTAATGGAGCTGAGATTTTAGTGGCGGTACAAGGTATTCAGATTGCAGAACAATTAGGAGTTCAGCACTTGGTAGTTGAAGGAGACTCTCAGATTGTTGTGGGATGGCTGACAGACCCAGCTTCATGTTAGACAGTTTTATATGCCCTTAGCTTCAATCAGAATGATGTACTTTATGAGTTTATTGTAAATGAATAAAAGTGCAT